GCTATTCCGCTGCTGGGGGTCTTCCCCAAAGAATTAAAAGAATCATACCACAGTGATATATGTGCACCCATGTTCATAGCAGCAGTTTGTAATAGCTAAAACTTGGAAACAGCCCAAATGCCCATCAACTGGAGACTGGATAGGATAGCTTCTTTAAAGTGGAATTACTGAGTCAAAGAGCCAAAGCATTCTGGTAACCTTAGACAAATGTTGCTACACATTTCTATAGATTCTAATGATTAAAACTGACATGGTAGCTCATTTTTCCAAAATTCAAGTTAAAAACAGAATATGAATTTCCTTCATTTTTTTCATATAAAATCTTCAATGTCTAGAGCTCTGTTATGGTGAATGCTTATGGCTGTTTATATTTTTATTCTTTAGTTAATGAATTAGCTTAATTAAACTGATTAAATATATATATCAGATCATGTGGAAAGGAGTCACAGCCAAAAATTCCGCCTCCCTGTAGGAGTCACAATTACTTTCCTTTTCTCTCTTTCTCTGCTTCCTTCCCCCACCATCCTCACTCCCATGATGCTCAGTGATTCATTATTGTCATTAATTTTTCAAGTTTCTCATTCCAAGAACATTGTCCCTAAGAAGCTAGAGCTTTCTGTTGATGTGGGTCCTCAGGCAGCCCTCTGAAGACTCGGAGGTCCCTTATCCTGTGGAGGAATGCTCATCAGCTGAAGTGTTAGGAGGAACAAAGAGTTTAAGTATGGACTGAGATCAGCAGCTAGAAGACCATAAAATTGACTCTAAGACTAATGTCATCTCAGTCTTCATTTGTCATCCCCCTACCTTATAACATGGTTAGTGTTAGTGTTAGCCATCGGGACACTGCTATACACACAGAGGACAGTCACCGAGCCAGAAGAGGCTGACTGCCAATATAGAGTTGCCAACATCATGTAGGAATGCACCCATAAAGGAGTATGTGTGATTAAAGATTACACAAGACTTTATGTGTCCAAGGAGTATTGTGCCCTTGTCAAACTTGGCATTTAGTCCATGAGTCTTCCATCACCTACCCCATTTTTAAAAATGCCTTTTAAAGCTTTCACATACTTTTAGTATGATTTGATGAGATGCATCTTCATCTTTTCTGGAAAGAACTGAGCTTTGTTCATAGTCCAGTTATAAGCCGTGTCCCTGGAGTGTAATCTCCTATACTAGATTCTATCCTCCATGAAAGCTAAGCCTGGAGCTGTCTTATTTATTAAATCACCACAATTTCCCACAGTGCCTGGCTTATAGCAGGTAGTCAGTGGGTATTTGTTGAATGAACAGCTGGGTTTGCAGGAGAAACAAGCTGTGTGATGGCCTAAGTTGTTCAAAACCAGTGTGTTTGAGATTATAAAGAAAAAAGATTGGTTGTCCTGTGTTATTGTACAGGTAGCAATTTCAAAAGGTGAATCCTTGAAAAGTATGGAGCCATTGCAAGTCCACCAGACTATCAAATAAATAAGTGCACTGAAAGAGGCCCTCATTTGCATATCTAATTAATGTCTCTGATTAAAATATTTTACACAGTGTAATATTTTAATACTAGCCAATATTTGTTGATACTTTCTTGGTGCTAGGGATTATTTCAAGTACTTTACAGTTTTACTTGCTGGTTTTTGCAGAAAACCCTGCGGAGTAGGTATCAGCATCATTCCTGTTTGAGAGATGAGGCAGTAGGCACAGCAAGGCAGTGTCATCTGGCCTACAGCTGTAGACAGTAAGGAGCTGAGGTGGACGTGACCTCACCCATCTGACTAGAATTGTGCTCTCCACAGCTCCGCTCTACCATCTCCTAATACTCATACTTCATATATAATCATAGGACAACATATAATACACCTTTGTGAAATTATTAAACCAAGAGATTATGCTGACATCAAAGTTATTTCTGATACAAAGATCCTTTAGGTGTTGTTTTATATAGAAATTGCATTTCTTGAGCTCATTTCGAAATTCTTAGGCCAAGATAAGAGGAGTGAGGGTGACTTTGGTGATTTCTCCTAACTGATGATGACTTGGGGGAATCTGCCCAGCCGATGACTGGGAAGGAGGAAGCCCACAGATCAGAGAACACAACCCACCTATTTGCTCTTTTACAGGGCTTCTATAAACGGACCCCAGACTACCTTCAGATTAGAGAATGGAAGAGGATGGGCTGCTTTCCTGTCCCCATGGTCCACTCCACCTTCCTAATTGACCTCAGGAAGGAGGCCTCTGACAAGCTGACCTTCTACCCCCCACACCAGGACTACACCTGGACTTTTGATGACATCATCGTCTTTGCCTTCTCCAGCAGGCAAGCAGGTATTGTTTGTGTTTGGTTGTACGTACAGCCACCATAGAAACACTGAAAATGATTAGCTCCTTTGTTTTGGACTTCTTATTTTTTTAAAAAAAACCCAGCAGGGTACAGTGGCCCATGCCTATAATCCCAGGACTCCAGAAGGCTGAAGCAAGAGGATTCCAAGTTCAAAACCAACCTGGGAAGCAAGACCCTGTCTCAAAATTTAAAAAGGAAGGGGATGTGGCTCAGTGAGAAGGCCCTGGGTTCAATCCCCAGGAGCACAATCACTCTATTAATTCCCATCCAGCAAAAAATGACTTCCTTTTCAGGTAGTGTTAGAGGCCATAAATTGTCTGCAATAACCATACAGGAACTGTCAGTGTTGCTGTCCCTGTGATCACTGATGACCAAGAACCAAGACTTCCCTGCCCTCAGAATCCATTTTCTTTTGGGGAACTGACAGGAGGGGGAAGCAGTAGGGATGACATTGGGAGTCAGGAATTTGATTGGTTCTCTATAGTACTGAATGCATTGCTGTTGTTGACTATAGGAGACCCTTTATTAATTAGAAAATTGTGATAGAAGCCCAAAACAACACTAGCAAAATCCCAAGACTTTAAAAGTGGAAGTTTATTTCTTCTTTTAAAAATCTGAGCTGCTGTCATGGCTTTGTTCCACTAAGTTTTTGGAGAACGAGGATCCTTCTGTATTGTCTTTCTGCCCTCCATGGTCAGATTCTTCATGGTCAGGTTTAGGTTGCCTCACCACCATCAAGGCAGGAACAGAGGGAGGACATGCTCCATCCCTACAAGGGTACGATCCAGAGACTGAACTCAGCACTTCTGTGCTAATCCCCTCAGCCAGAACTTGGGAAGAGGACAACACTGGGAGGGAGGCTCGGAATGTCATCTTTATTCTATGAGGTCATGGGTCCCAATTCTCTCACTCCAGAAAAAAAAGAGGACAGATATTGGAGGTGGCTAGAAGTCTCTGCCTCCATCCCTATGAAAGGAGAAGAAGCTAGACGTCTTTGTGAATCCCTGGGAAAACATTTCCAGTGGAATCTATATATTTTTTGAGAAAGACAAGCAATAGAAAGGATAGGTTGTTTGTTTAGGTTTTTTTCACCTCCACATGAAGTCAGGGAGGATACATACTCACAAAAACAGTTCAACAGAAAGATACATGGCATTACTAAAGTACAGCTTTATTAGAATAACTCAAACCTTCCCGATAGAAGTCAAGGCTCGTTATCAATGTGCCAGAAATGTACCACTTAACCACTAGCAAAACTAGGTTTAGAACCAAAATGATGATAAAGTAAACTTAATGTGGCCATGTAAATTAGGGCAAGACAGATTTTTCTGAAGACCCCAAGAAGTGGGGATGTTGCTGGCAGATAAGAATGTTAATGCAAATTCAACCTACAACTCATACATCAGGCCTATCTAAGTGCCCCATTTGCCAGTTGTAGATTTGTTAAAAATGGGGCCAGGGATTTCGCTTAGTGGTTCTGCCACCTGCCTCAAAAGCACAAGGTCCCAAGTTCGATCTCCAGTACCAAAAAAAAAGAGGAAATGTGTAAAGCTGATTTTTTTTTTTCTCTTGGTTGCCAGAACAATTTAGACCAATTGGCCAGGTATAGGCATTTTTTAGGCCTACATTTTTTTCAGGGACAAAGCAATCCTCAGGTGGACTGGTGTTTTCATAAAGGTTCTTGTGTCGACATTAATGGAAAGGTTTGTTTCATGATTTACTCTAACTTCTCCAGGATAAAAGCAGAATCAAGGCCTTCCTGTTCCTTCAAGTTGTGCCAGTCCTTTTGCTTCAGAGTTTGAAGCAAGGATGGTCTAAGTGAGTGATATATTAACAATTACAACGACAGTCACTGCCTGACAGAGTCCTCTTTTATGACCACTGCACAAGGTATTATTGTAACCTGTGCGCTAAATTATGATGACGTATTTTGGAAAACCAATACCCGAATATTTGAGCTGGAAAAGTGACATAGACTGAATAGGAATGTTTCACCTCTGTCTTTGGCTTGGCCTGTTCAGCAGGACTTTATGCTCTGACCTCCCAAAAGTCTTTCCAGGACATTGAAAGCAGGTGTGGAGGCTCAGAGCTCTGGCCCAGGCAAAAGCAGGTATGGAGGCCCAAGCCCAGGTGGAAAAGGAGAAGAGAAGACCAACCCAGCTAGCTCTACCTTTCAGCCTAGGATTGTGTTAGCCTCTGTGCTGGTTGGAGAGTTGAGAACAGTGGGGGAAAAATAGGCAGTAATGATGACAACAGTGAATATAGAGGGCCACATTGGTGTCACAGACCGAACAGTTGCAAGTCAAGACAGGAAATAATCACAGAAATTTGGGAGAAATTAAAGCTATTTCCTGACAGTAGTGTAATTCTGAGGTAGTATTTCACTGATCTCGAAGTATTTTCAAGACCAATATGAATGAGTCTCCGTTTTGTGTCTTGAGGCTCTTCCTTTCTTGGGTCCAAAGCAAAGCACTTCCCCTTGCTTTTGAAAGAGGCTGACATATAGCTAGTGTTCTTTGATTCTCACTTTTCTGAAAGTCCCTAGCTGTGTATCACCTATTGTAGCATCACTGTATAAAAATGCAAAAGGAAGCCAGGGGTCTGCCTGGGACTATCTTAACCCCAGACTTTGGTCCAACTTCTTCCATTCGGATGATAGCCTTTGCCACAAAAACAGACATGGATCAATGGAGCAGAATAGAGGATGTAGAAATAACCCCAAGCACATTCACCTATCAGATCTTTGACAAAAGAACCAAAACATGACCAAAAACATGCTGGAGGAAAGGTAGCCTCTTTAACGAATGGTGCTGGGAAAACTGACTATCCACATACAGAAGATCTAGACCCATATCTCTCACCGTGTACTAAACTAAAATAAAAATGGATCAAAGATCTAAATGTTAAGACTGAAATCCTTAATCTGCTGGAAGATAAAATAGGTAAAACTCTTGAAGACATAGGCATAGGCAAGAGCTTTCTGAACAGAACCCTAATTACACCAGAAATAGCATCAAGAATCAACAAATGGGACCATATCAAATTACAAAACTTCTGCACAACAAAGAAAGCAACCAACAGAATGAACCTACAGAATGGAAACAAAACATTTGACATCTATTCCTTGGATAGAGAACTAATATCTAAGTATATTTTAAAAATTCAAATACTAGACTTCCTCCCCAAAATAAAAAAACTCAATCAAAACATGGGTAGCTGAAATGAATAGACATTTCTCAGAAGAAGTACAAATGGCTAATAAATACATGAAAAAATGTTCAACATTTCTGGCCTTTAGGGAAATGCAAATTAAAACAACACTGAGATTCCATCTTACTCCAGAAAGATGGCTGTCATCAAAAAGTCAAATAATAACACATGCTGGTGAGGCTGCTGGGATAAAAGAACCCTTCTACATTGTTGGTGGGAATGTAAACTAGTACAACCACAGTGGAAACCAGTATGGAGATTCCTCAAAAACCTAAAAATAGAAATTCCACTTGACTCAGCTATTCTCCTTCTAGGTATCTTCCTGAAAGAGTTAAAGACATCATATCACAGTGAGACATGCACACTCATGTTTGTAGAAATACAATTGAATATAGCTAAACCTTGGAAGTGGTCTATATGTCCATCAATGAATTAAAAATGTGACATTTATATACAATAGAGTACTACTCTGCCAGAAATAAGGGTAAACTTGAGTCATTTATAGGAAAATGGATGCACCTTGAGACCATAATGTTAAGTAAAATAAATCAGACACACAAGCTTAAATATTGCATGGATTTTTATATGAGAAACCCCAAATATAAATGAAGAGCAAAATAAAAAATAGAAAATAGGAAATAGGGAGATAGATCTTTCTCAAAAGGTAAAGGAGCCAAGAGATGGAGAGAGGGGGAGAGACAGAAAGAGGAGATGAAAAAGTAAGATGTGTTGTGTACATGCACCAACTCCCCATAAGGAATGTAATCATTATGTACTGAAAACATGGGCAGTGCTAATAAAAGATGAAAGTTGGAAAAAAAATTATAGCTATTACAACATACGAGTGATGAGTGAGAGACAATCCAAGCGTTTTGGTGAGCTAGACTTGGCAGCCCATCTGACCCAAGAAGAGAGCACAAGGTCAGAAGCGAATCACTGTGACTATAAAGAAGCTAATGGCCAGAAGTTACCTCCACGTGGCCAGTGATCTGGGCTCCATATCATAGCCACAGGAATGCTCCTTGTCCAATCATCTTTCAGATATCTACTGTGAGTCAAAGGAGGCAGGAATCGAAAGTGATATGGAGACTGCAAGCAGTTCTGCATCCAGGACCTCACTGGTAATGATCAAAAGAATCTCCATTTTGGGCAATTCCTAGTGATTAATGGCCCCAAGGGTAAGCTTCTGAATCCTGAAATGGTAAAAACCCTTGGCATTGGCCAACAGGGACAAAGGTTTGGCTTCAATGACTTACTGTGAGGCCTTGGACAAGTCACAGCTTTTATTATTTTTTATCATCATGGGTAGAGATCATTGTATCAATCTGTGGTGTTAAGGTGCTACATGAGTACAAAAGAATGATATCTAAAAGCGAAGACTTTCAATTATACCATTCAGTTCTCTTTTTCAAAGAAAAATTGTTTTTCACAGAGACAGATTTCACTGAGTGTACCAGATTCCTTCATAAACTTTATCTAATTATCAACACATTTCCCTTTTAATTTTTTATTTTTATCAAATTACTCATGAGTTGAAGAGTTCAAATAGTTACCTAAGGTTTATTTAAAGAATGGGGAATGGGAAAAAAAGAGTCAAGATATATTATATACAGATACAAATTCCCTATGATGAATGTGATCACTATTTAGACCAATAAACTTAATTAATTAAAAAAAACACATTGGCAACAGGTAAAGAAAAAAAAAAGATGAACAGTTTCCTGTACATCACTCCAAAATCATTTCTCTCTTCCACAAGAGAGAAACCACTTTTACCTCTTTAGATGATTATATTAATATAATATTTATATACCTGTTTCTAAATAACATGCTTGTGTTGCTACTTCCTTAGTTTTTGGCTTTCTTTAGGCATTTTCTCTGCTGATTCTCCACTTCGGGAAATGAGGAGTTATCTCCCTCTCTGCCCTTTGCTCCTGCCCCATGCAAACTCATTCTTCTCCTCCCTTGTCCTCTAAGTATAATTTAGGATAGTGTTTTTGTTGTTATAATCACGTGAACCTAACTCCAAGCTCAGCCATTTATAGACTCTAACTATTTTTTCTTTATCTAAATAATTATACTTCCCCCTTTTGCTTAGTTTTATTATTATAAATACAATAACAAAGTAATCGCTAATTTTCTTGAGCTCCCCTCAGATTGTTCACAACCATCAGATGTACTCTATGGCATGTCTTGAAGATGTCCCTCTGGAAGTCTTCTGATATGCTCTAATCTAAGAAATGTCAAAGCCATCAACCTGGGTCTCATTTCTCTTCTCCCATGCATTGACTTCTGTTTGTGTCCTAAGATTTTTTCACGCATTATAATTCTCTTCTCCCTCCTTATCCTTTTCTTTATCTTCCTCTTTCTCCTCTTCTTCCTTCTCTTCCTCTTCATCCTCCTTCCACATCATCCAGTCATGGAAAGTAAATATTTTATAATCTTACATGTCTGAAAATGCCTTTTCTGTGTCCGATTACTTGATGGCTACCTGAGCTGGGTATCATATTCCCTTTTATAAAAGCTTTGGAAAGTTAAAAATGGTTTACCTAATTCAGTTAGAGAGGCATCCTAAATATTAAATCTTTCTTCTACTTCCTGAATTTATCACTGTTTTGCAAGAAGGTGCATTGGAGTTTGAAGTTCACCGTAAGCATTCATGTTGGCAAATAGCAGAGCTAATAAGTTCATTTGGAGAAAGCAAGAGAAGTGACAGTCCTGGTGGGCCAGCCCAGACTGAAGCCAGATTCAGTAAAGATGGAAGATAAAAGCTCTTTTCTTTTCCTGTTCATCTCTGTTAATTCTATGAGACAGATTCACCTAACTTGTCGGTGATGTAGCTTGACTGGTGGAAATTTCATCTGCACAAAATACAAAAGTCACTATGCACATAATTCTGTCTCAGGAAAATATTGATGATTGTGAGAATTAACAAATCACAGGCTTAGGCACATGTGCCGGACACTGGCAGACTTATCCTTTTAAGTCAGCAGTCTTAATTAGGACTTCCTACTGCTGGATCTAGAGGAGACCATCCTGATCCCCGTATTCCTAGCAGTCTGGTTTATTATGTCTTATTTATTATGGGCTGTGATATGTTGTTGAGAGAGTCAAATTGCAGGTTCTTAGTAGGACTTGAAATGCAGGCTTCCTTTTGTCCCTTTATAAACTTTTTTGAAGTTTTATGTCTGTTAGTTGACTCCAAATCCATGTGTGTTTAGGGAAGAAATAAAACCAAGCAGAATCATGGAGAATTTTTAATTTCCTTTGTAATTTCTTATTTTTTGTTCTGCATATGCCTAGATTTAGCTTTAATAATCTGTCAGCCTTACAGGATTTTCCAGTTTGCTTTCATATCAAATACGGATTTCATTCCTCATTTTCTCGTTATTTCCTGTAGGTGGATTACAGTGTTCCATTCTGCTCTCTTGAATGGGAATTCATTGCTTCCCTTCTGATCCCTTCATGCTCTTAGTTTTCATTTCAGGCCATGAGTATGCTATTTCTTTAGAGAGAAAAATCAATTTCCTCTGGGCTGAAGAATAGCCCAGATTTTTTATGAGTCCCCAATGCTGCATTTTACTTTTTTAAATAAAAGAACATTTTTGAGGTCTGTTTGTTCTCCTTTCTCTTAGCTGTCAGTAAGAAGCGTGTTTTCTTATTGGTTGACTATTTTTCTCTTGGATTCTCAGGCATTCAGATGTACCTCTGCAACAGACAGCACTATGGCTACCTGCCTATCCCCCTGAAGCCCCACCAGACACTGCAGGAGGACATCGAGAACCTCATCCACGTGCAGATAGAAGCAATGAGTGAGTGGCCCAGGAGCAGGCAGTGGCTCAAGCCAGCCACATCTTTCCTCTTCCAGGCCTGGAAACTCATGACCATAAGTCTACCTTGGTTGAAATGTAGCTGTTCATTCATCATTCATTCATTCATTCATTCATTTTAAAATGTTTCTTCTGTGCAATACAAATACCACAAGGTTCTTGTCTTCAGGGAGCATCCTGTCCTAGTGGAGGACTGAGTACACAGATACTTTTCATACAATGTATTAAGTACTATAATAGTGTTTGGGGGCATGAATTTGAATCCTAACTAGGCTGCTTTCATATCATATCACTTTGAGCAAGTACCTCCTTAGTTACAAAATAGAGATAATGAAAACTTCTGGGGTTTGAGGCAGAATATATCATATATGTCTATATATATGATAACAATAATTATGAATTTCAACTCAATAATAGCTTATGATGTAACAGATACCACACTAAGTACTTTTTGTCTATGTCTCATTAAATTCCATAACAACCTAGTTTAGGGTTTATTAGTCCCACAATAAAGATGAAAAAACTGAGGTATAAAGATCTTACTTTCCCTAGATCATTTTATTAAACAAATGACAGATCAAGATTTAAACCAATCTTTCTATCTCTGGATGTCATGTCCTTAAAAACTATTTTGCCATTGTCTCTGAACATAGCATAATGTTGGAATCGGGATGTTTAATAATCAGTAGCTTATTGAATAATGTATAGTGATAGCCAGAGAAAAAAGTACTGTGGTGATCTACTTATCTCAGGGCAGGATGTTGGAAATGATTTCCCATAGAAGGGAATGTCTTCTATGTTTCATCACTGAAGCGTAGAATTATACATGGGGGCAGTGGAGGTCGTTAAGAGGCCACAGCAGGAAATAAGACTGGACAGTAGGCAGGAACCCAGCCAGGACCTCTGATGATTTAGGTGTTCAGATTTTTCCTCAATTGAGAGGAGCTTTTAAAGAGATATGAGCCTAGAAATTTAAGGTTGAAATTTGGATTTAAGAAGCTTACTCTAGGGTAAGAGAAGTGACAAATGCAGCATGGGTGAACAGTGAATACAGGTGAAAGATCAATTTTGAAATTATATGGAAACTAGGCAAAAATTGTGAAGATATGAGTTGAAGCAGTGGCTGTGGGAATAGAGAGGCAGGAACAGAGAAACTCGGGACATAGATGTGAAAGAATTTAGCCAAGAATTGGCTATAGGTGAATGAGCAAAAGGGTGGCAGAGCAAAACTCCAAACTTCTGATTCTGAGATGGTTTTAGGAATTTTAAATGGAATAAGGCATCTGGAATAAAAGGGAGATTTGAAAAAAAAATCCATGAGTTTATCTTTTAGACCCATTGAGTTACCTATGAATATCTATTTCCCATGCCTCTACCCCCAGACTATAAGTTCCTTTTTTACCATGTTAGTCTCAATACCTAGCATGTTGCCATCACCTAGTGGACATCTAGTATATATTTCTTGAATGATTGAATGGATGGATGAATGAATTAATTAATGAATGATAGAATAAGGATTGGTTTGCTGTGACAGTATCTCTTAAATCAGCCCTTAGGAATATTTTTGTGAATTTCTTTACTGTATATTATTTTTACCTCTTTTCCTATCTTCAGACCCTAGAGCAGTGGCGATGAACTTAGGGCACATGTGCTGCAGCCAGCTGTTTATCACTGAGTGATCTAATAGGTTCACCATCACTGCATTAGAGGAGGATAAAGTCGGTAACTTATGGCCTTGTATCCCAAGCACCTAGAACAGTGTATGGTATATGGTTGGTACCAAATATGAATGCATCATCAGACAAGTGAATGTGTGAATGAATGAATACTGTATTGTCAAGCATACTAAACCTGAAGCCAAAATAATCTACTTAAACCCAAGCTTTGTCAGTTATGAAGGGCGAATCAATTTCTGAAACCTTCAGTTCCTTTATCTGCAGAGTAAAGATAATAACATTGACTTTGCAGACTTGAGCAGAGCAAATAAAACAATATATTTTATAAAACAGTGAAGCATTGCTATTATTGTGACTCTATTTAGCACTTAGTAAAAATACTGCTCCTTATCATCCCTATATCCTTGCAGCCTTGTCTCCCAAGTAGATGTCACTCAGAGAGGGGCTGGATGAAACTTTGTGTTCTCTTGTTTCCTCCCACATGACTGGGTACATAGAACGGTACATAGAAATGCAAACATTATCAACAAAGATTTTAATGATTATGAATTATAAATATGTACAGCTCCTTTTTTAGCCAGATAAAATTCATAGGAGAAGAACCTATAAATTATAGCTTTCATTATTGATGTCCCTACATAGACTGAGCATTTGATTTATGGTATTTTAGTTAATTCTTGTACTTACCTTCTTGAGTTATAGTTTTGTTAAACTTCACTTCTGAATTTTAAAATATAGAACATAATTGGAATAGTAAAACAATTGAAAAACCAAACTTTGAGAGTTATAATGCAGAAATACAGGCTAAAGACCCATGTAGGATGAATAAAATGTTAGTAATGAAACCATGTCTGACAGGTGTCCTCCCCTAAACTGGATATTAAAAACTCTTCTCATAGTGCCTAGAACTCAAAGCGCAGTGAAAAAAAAGGCTACTAACAAAAATGGCTGATATTGACTATATTGACTGAAGCATTAGACGTGCATTTTTTTAATGTCCAAACATGAAATCCCTATCTGTAATGTGTGAGTCATTCTCTAAAGGCACTAGAGAGTCAAAACTTTTTATTATCAGTTCTTAGTTTTCAGTTTAATTGGGGAGACAGGACTGATACAAAACAGAAACTAATAATGCAGCATAGTGCTTTGTGAAAGAAGCAGACACAAAGGCAATAGGAATTTGGAATAGAGAGAAGTTGCTATGACCTGTGTGATCCAGGAGAACTTCAAATCCTGATGATTCTTAAGCTAAACTTGGGTAGAAGCAGAGTTTCAACAAGAGGAGAGATACAGTGAGGTTACTGCAGGCAGAGGAAATAGACTGAGCAGACAAAACATTCCCACCCTGGAGGAGAATTGGCTTAAAACTGTAGAAATAAAGTTTGACAAGTCGGATTAGTTTAGTTGTTGTGGTCCTTGTATGCCCAGGTAAAACACAATGCCCACCCCAAGGACCTACTGGAGGTTTTAGAAGAGAGGACCAGACTACAAATATTTATTCATCACAAACTATACTCCATAATTGCTTAAGATGCTGAGTATGTAGCAGTGAACAAATCGACAGAAACTTTGCCACCAAAGACTTGTATTTTATCAGAGATATCCAGCCACATCAATCAAGGAAGCAGCCACATGAATATTTGGGGAAAGAGTGTTCCAAGCAGGAAGAAGAGCACATGTAAAGGCCACTAGGTAGGAAAAATCTTGAGGATGTCCCAGGGACAAAAGGCCAACAGTGTTAGGAAGAAGGAGTTGGGTAGAGGTAAAAGAAGTCATGGAGGAAGACTGCAGAATGCTCTGGCCATGGTAAGGAATTTGAATTTTATTCTAAGAGTAATGGAAATCCACCGGGACTGACCTCATGTAGTTCACACATTTAGAAAGATTGCTTCCGTTGTGGTGTGGATACTAATGCATAGGCAATCAGTACATCTCCCCTGGTGAGAGATGTTAGTAGTTGACATTTGAGCTGTAATAGGAGATGATGAGAAACAGATTTAAGAAGTTTTGGGGTAGAGCCCATAGGACTTATAGAAGCCTGGATGCAGTCCAGAAAGGAAAGAAAGAAATTAGGAATAACTCCAGGACTTTGGCCTGCTTTACCACTTACTGAGATGGAAAAGATTTGGGGCCAGGGATTTAGCTCAGTGGTGCTGTGCCTGCCTTGCAAGCACAAGGTCCTGAGTTTGACACCCCACCCCCACCCTTCAGTACTGGGAGAAAAAAAAAGATTTTGGGAGGGAAGTTTTTGGTCATGTAAGTTTCAAATATTTATTAGATATCTGAATAGGGAAGTCTGGAGATGATTATGTATTTCTGGGGTTCAGGAAGAGGTTCCATCTAGAGATAGACATTTTGTAATCATCAACATAGAAAGGATATTTGAAGCCAAGGAACAGTGTGAGTTACAGAGAGAGAGAGAGAGGAGAATCCTGAGGGTGACAAACACCCAGAAAGCAGAAAGCTGGGAAGAAAACTTGAGAAATGCTTCAAGAAAAAGTCAAATGTTACTGAGTCAAGTAAAATGAGAGTAGAGTTGATCATTTTTTCTGTCTGGATAGAGCTCTGTTGATAACCTTGATAAGATCCACTTCTGTGTGATGAGAGAGACACAAGCCCATTGGAATGGAGCAAACAGAAAACACTGTGGGGATGAGAAAGTGGAATCCTGATGGGATGGGGAGTAGGAAAATGGGATGAGGCTGCTAGGGTGTATGAGAATAAAAGAGGGGTTTTTTTCATTTAGTTTAGTTTCTTTGTATTATTTATTTTTTAATAATATCACAACATGTTTGTATGTTTATGAGAAGGATCAAAGATTTAAGGTGAACTTGATGATGTAGAAGAGAATTGTAAGGTTGTCATTGAGCAAGAGTTGTAGCCCAGACCAACACAGGAGAAGTCATGCTAGGGGGAAACAGGGAGCCTTCACCCTGTATGGGAGATGGGAAAGCAGAATGTGTAGGTGCACATGCAATTCAGGTGGAATGAAAACGTGGATCTCATTTGGTGCTGAGTATTTTCTTGGTAAGTGTATAGTCCAGCCATAAACTTAGGAGTGCTGTTAGAGATTTCAGGAGTCAAGCATATCATAGATCTCTCAGAGACTAGGAAAGTAGATTTACTATGGAAGTATAGTTGCATCACTTGCTGATGTCAATTACTAATTTGGCTTCTTTGGTTGTAACTTTGAAGTGACTTGGTCAGTACAATTTGTGGAGTTTCTCCTGAAGTAGTCTGTTGGGGACAAGTAAGTGGACAATCAGGTTTAGAAAGGATTAGGGTCTTATCAGAGAAGATCAATGGGAGGGAATTAAGAATATTTACAAGAGTAATGATCAGGAAGTTTACGAATTATAGACTGAAGTTTCAGGTCCAGAGTGACAATTTTTGAGGAGTATGGAAATGAGTTATAATAATAACAACTTATTAAAAATTCAGTGCCTAAGGAGCTGTACAGAGAGGGAAGTGCTTCCTTTGGGAGAAGATTGACAGGAGGCTGAATCTTGCAGAGATGATAGATGTGAATGAATTGTGAGGGATGAGGAGACTGGTCCTGTAAATCACGGCATGAAGTAAGGGAAATCTCAGGTGCCTGTTCTCAGTATCAGTCAACAGTCTGAGGCAGCGTCATATAAATATTACTAAGATTACTGGATCTGAAGTCAGAAAGGTCAAAAACTGAGTTCCACCACTGCACTCTTTAATTGACCTTGGGTAAGTCCACCTCTGGGTTGGTCTCAGTTTATTTATCTGTATAGACAAACAACCATGACAACAGAAAGTGAAAATAAAATTACCTGGTGGCTGTGAAAACACCTAAATTATAAAACACTTAAGTTACAGATATAGCCAAGAACAGATTAGTACTTGCAGAAGATTATTTTGACGACTGTGTGCCTGATGAGTTAGAATAGCAGGAGCAAGGGAATGTTTAAAAAATACTAAAACAGCCCAGGCCTGGTAGGTAAGGACATGAACTAGGGAGGACATGAGCTAGCTAGGCAGCCATGGGAGAAATTCAGGAAGAACTAGAAAGAAGTGTTAGAAAGTGCTTTTTCAGGCATGACTGGTCTAAATTAACTACTGAAAACCCTGCCCAGCTGTCCAGTTGCCCAACACCAACAGATACCAAGGAGTAGCTTTGGGGGACAGGTATACTGGAGGTCAAGAGCTCAAGTTGTGACCTTGGGCAAGTTGGTTAAGCTTTTGATTCCTTGTCTGTAAAATAGAGACATTTAATCATACATATGAAGATTAAGTGTCCGCCTGCTGCACAAGCGCAAGGACCCGAGTTCAATCCCCGGTACCAAAAAAAAAAAAAGATTAAGTGTGATTCTTACATTGTCCAGTAGAGCTCAGAGTCCAGGAATAATAAGAGCTATATAACAGTAGCTTTAATTATTAGTCCTAAATTTTGAAACTATTCAGAAGCCAATGAAGCCCACTGTCCTAAAAGGAGTCCAGGGAGGAGCCATTTACAGGAAGAGACTCAATGACAGACTGGATAAATTATGAATGATGGAGTCAGAGATGACCACAACAAAAGTTGGAATCTCCTAACCTTAAAGTCTGATGTCAGCAAAGATACATCAACTTTCTTTCCATAATAAGTTTCTTAGTTCTGACCCATTCTGTCATATCCTATTACCTAAACTTAGTGCTGCTTTCAGTGGCAAAACCTAGGCAAATTGCCCTGTTATTTTTGTTCAACAGTGACTTTCAGAAGCCAACCATTTGTGGCTTTTTGAGAACATTAGTTCTGTGAATGCAATGACTGCCTATGTTTGATGGAAGCAAAATGACTAAATTCAGTAACTTTATTTGATGGAAGCCTATGACTAAATTCAGTCAGTAGCTTTGGCTAAAATATTAAACCCACACAGGCCATGTCAATACCAAACAGAGTCCAGCAGCCTAGAAAGGGTAACTTAAAATGTAATGCCCTTCCATGTCTAAAGTCAAGGAGAAAAAGCAAGACAGCTTCCAAACACAAAGGAGTTGTAAATTAACTGTCTTTCTCTTAGAAACCTTACATGGTACATGGTAGACCTTCCACATTTATTTTTAACGAAACTAATAGGAAGTACTGGAGCAGAAAGAAGCAAAATATTCTAGGCTGCTACTGGAAAGAATACACATGCTTGTATAAGAAGAAATGTGACTGTAAAGATCAGGTTTGAAGCAGTGAGGTCAACTTCTGTGTTTGGCTTAGGAAACCTGTCTCATTTACTACCTTCTAGAATTTGACATTATTTGATCATAAGCAAAACTGGTCATAGTTTTTCTTTAGTGTCTCAGAGCAGGATAAGTTAAACAGATCATACCGTGCAGATAGCACAGGATATCTCTGTCAGGATGGAGAAATTATGCTGGGATATCAAACAGTGGTGAAATCTCATTGGCTTAATGCCACATTGGCTTATTTATTGCTATTCAAGGTCTGCAGTCCTGGTGTCTTTCCGGGGCAGCTGTTCTCCATGTGTTAGTGCAACATTCCAGGCTGCTTCAACTTTGTGGCTTCTTCATATCAACACATGCTACTGTGATCATTGTGATGGGACTGGGGCAGGGTTGGAAGAAGGGTTTGGAGATCTGGCTAGCAGAAATTTAAACCCCCACCCCTCAAAAAATCATACGACATTGACTAACTTTAAGGGCAAGAAAGTGTATCTTTCTCATGTGCCTGCAATACAGGAGAATGATGGTCATCATCAACAGTTCTTTAAACAACACTGTGACCATCTCTCATTTTTAATTTTCTTTGTATTCTCCCTTTAATGAAAATCAAGTTACTGTAAGCTAGCCTATTTCTGAGCTCTATCACCATAGGCCACAGTAAGTAATAGAAGAGTATTTACTACATTAATGTAGTGAGTGTGTTGCATGCAGATCTCATTTTAATTTTATAACACAATAAGAAACATCTATTAAACAACTTTTACATGTGAAGAAACAGGCTTAGATAGTCACCATGACACTCCTAGGCCTTGTAGGCCAAAGATTAGACCTATATCATTTGACTTCAGAGCTAGCTCTCTCTCTCTCTCTCTCTCTCCTATTACCCTAAACTGCCTCTCAATACTCTTAAAATAAATCTTAAGGGGAATGGAGCAAATATTGCAATTTGCATATAAATAAGTGCTCTTGAAATCATGTCCTGATCATCATGTTTCCTGAGGGACGGCTGGAAGATCCACATCAGGTCCCAGCCCTACAGAGTAGGCATGTAGATGGAATTCTGCTTTCTGATCCTTCACTAACAAGCACTCTATGAGTTTCTTGTGTCTTCCAGTTGACCGTCCTCCAATCGAACCCTCCCAGTTTGTGTCAGTGGTCCCTAAGTATCCAGACAAGATGGGATTTGACGAGGTAGGAAAGTGTGTGTGTGTGTGTGTGTGTGTGTGTGTGTGTGTGTGTGTGTGTGTAGATGTCTGTATGTTTATATTGGAGCACAGCCCTGAGCATATCTGCAAGCCAGCAAGATGGGTTTGGCTGCTGAGGAAACACCAGTGTCTTGGGAAAACTACTCAGATTTTATGCCTTAGTTTTCTTATCTTAAAAACAGAGGGTCAGGGTAAAAGGGGGTTAATCATCGAGTCAGAATTATTTAGTAGTAAAAGTGAATTTGCTGTATTTTACCAACATTTTTATTGAGGCTCAAGGGTAAGGTAAAGCAGATACCTGTCCTAGGTATTGAAAGATACTAAGTTTACTCAGTCACAGATGAGTGGAAACTATTTGGAACCCTCCTTGCTGTATTTTCTTTCTGTTACTCTTCCATGGTTGGAGGGGAGAGTTGAGAGGGCAAAGAAAAGGAAAAAAGAAACTTGTTCTAAAATTCTGCCTTTCTACAGTCAAGAACATAACAGGCTTCCCAAAGGCCATATTTATTTGCTTTTTTAATTGTATAAAGAGTGAAGCAGGGGTGGAGGTGTGTGTAGCTCAGCGTAGCTCAGTGATAGTGTTTGCCTAGCATGTGCAAAGTCCTGGGTTCAGTCCCCAACAAGAGGAAGGGAGGGAGGAAGAGAGAGATGATGAAGGGAGGGAAGGGTGGGGAGAAAGTGAACAAAGGAAAAAAAGGAAGGGAGAAAGAAAGAACTGAAGAAAGGAAGGGAAGCAGAAATATAAAGAGATGCCTTCCCCATTGTGGGTCCATCATGTAGTTTACTGATCAGCATTCAGGAGAAACTTGATGACCTAGAAACTAGGACAGTGCATCAGAAATCTATAAACCAAGTCAGAGTTCTGTAGATTCTGGATATGTTACAGGCCAAACATTGTACATTGTACTCATTGCCACTGCTTAATGGAAGGTAAATGCCTTATGTCTCTGTAACATACATATGTGTGCCCCAAGGGTAGGTCCATCCTAAAGAGCTGCTGGAATAGTCAATTGGAATTTCTTCTATAAAACTGATTCAGAGCTGGAGTCCATGAATGGGAACGAATATTTCATGACTATCACATGTGAAAGAGTTAACAGCTATTATGCTGTTTCCACAGAGGAAAGAGACTTGGTCGTACAGAGTTTTCAAAAATGCCCTAGGGCCAGGGATTTAGCTCAGTGGCACTGCACCTGCCTCACAAGCACAAGGTCCTGAGTTTAATCCCTGGTACCAAAAAAAAAAAATGCCCAGCGCTACAGAACAGCTCGGCCCACCCAACATACTGTTGCACCCGCTCGGTGCAGTCCTGTAGTTTTCCCTCCCCATAACTCTCCCTCTCAGCTCTCTAGGCAAAAAGACCTATTTTACACATACTCATTTTTCCTGCTAAAATCACATCATTGAGAGGACCAAACCAAAGCAAATAAAACAGGACAAGCCAGATCTTCTCTCTCTGGGATGCTTTTGGCAGGACATGGCACAGGGACCGTGTCACTCCTGGAGTACTGGGAAAAACCTGCTCAGGAAGTGACGCCCTCAGGGACTCTGTTTTCCTGACGCTGGGGTAGTCAGCTTTGGGGGACAAACATGAGGTGGTGAGAAGGGATTTTCAGAGGCTGTCCAGTCCTCCCAGCACTGTGACCTTGTCAGTCATGTCTGGACTGCACTTGGCCCTGAGCTCTTTCTATGTTTACCACCCACTAGGTAGGCGTGAGCTGTCTGTGCTTTGCTTTGTGGCTCCCATTTTTATTGCCCTTGTCCTGGCAGGGCCTGGCACTGGATTGTTGTTTACCAAAGGGTTCCCAAGCTGGAGGTCTCTGGTTGAGGGGACTATTTTGATGCATTTTTTTTGTTCTGTGTCTGTTCTCCTGGAGTGACCCCCGGTGGCTCCATGCTTGCACATAAAGAAATGCTTTTTCCTTTCTGTGTCTGTAAAGTTAAGGGGTGGAGCATGTCCATGACAGAATGTTCTAAATAGGGAAAATGGAACAGAATGGAACATAAAAGAGCACAACCCATTAAATTATAAAATCCCAAGTAATAAGGCACATAGAGTCACCACCAAAATTATGTTTTTAAAAAATAATTATCCAGTTAAGTAAGTAAAGAAGGTAATAAAATCATTACACACTTAATCTGCTTTGGAGATTTGGAGATGGATAATTTTCAAAGAGGACATCTTCCTCTCCTATCAGTTTCTTTGCCTAGAAATTTATAAATGAGTAGAAGTGAGAATATATTGCAATGGAGGTTAAAATTTTAGTTATGTACCTTTTGATCCTAGTAAAGCATACAAATTATTTGCAATTACGTTCAAAATGACTCCCAAACAAAAACTTAATGTAGTATATTTTGAACTCCAGGCTGGTTATAAAACATAGCTTCTTCTCTTTTTTTGGTCATACCATAAAGCATACAGATGTTTTCATCTGTACAGGATTTAGAGATAAGTTTGTTCAATTCTTTCTGTTTAAAGATGAGAGAATTGGATCCAGAACTACTGAATTCCCCAGTCATCCACACGGTTAGTCAGAATGAAGTCAGCCTCCTCTGACTTTTTCCTGTAGGTTCCTCCTTCACCACACTGTGTGTCATCATCAGTTCTTGCTGGCAGCTAACATCTCCCAATCTTGGAGCACTAGTTTAACATTAAAATTTGTTGATTATTGCTTGTAGCAAGAGGACCTTATTAAATGCTAATTTGGAATAGCATTCATGAGACTTTAAATATTCTGTGGTTCCTTAACTCTGAGAATGGCCAAGATAACCTGATTGTCTGTAACTTCTGGTACTGACCTCATGTGTGTGTGTGTTTAGTGCAGCCATCAGGAATTTATAGGCAAAGGTGAGGAATGATGGGTAGACACAGCCATCGTGAGGAAAAATCTGCATGCACATACTTCTTTATTTTACGGATCTATAAGGGTCCTTTTTATAGCATTTCTCAGAGAACCACTCAACATTGAAATAATATCTTTCCATTTTTTCCACCTTCTTTATCAAAAGGCCACCTCCAGGGATAGGGCTTCTTTTCTGTACTTCTTTCCCTTGTTTCTAAGGGAGTTAGAGAATTCCAGCAGAGAAGCTGCTAAAATTGAAATCCCTATAATTCACCTTGGAATCTTTGCTAATAACAGCAATAAATTAAGGCTTTAGATTTTCCTTATTCTTTGAATGACTTTGAGTTTATCTAGTGGATGTAAATTATAATGGTACTAATATGTAATATTCATGAAGTAGGACAACTGTTATCCCAGTTTTGCAGGTAAGGAAACTGAGGCATAGAAACTGGCCAAAGGAAAACAACACATAACAAACAGGGTTTAAAACTCAGATCTGCTTGACATGATACTCTATATAGAAGACCCCAAGAACTCCACCAAAAGTCTTCTAGACTTAATAACCAAATTCAGTCAAGTAGCTGGTTACAAGGTCAACACACAAAAATCGATAGCTTTCCTCTACACAAATGACAGACTCACTGAGAGAGAAATAGGGCAAATAATTCCTTTCACAATAGCATCCAAAAA